TCAGGACAATATGGCATATTTGTGGAAAACTTCTCAATCAATTTTTGAAATTTCGGGAAAACTGTGTTTACGTTCGGGCTACGGATCAGCTGAAAAGGTAACGGTGCCGATTTTCATGCCGACCTACGATAGGTTCTCGAACGCCAAGAACAGGTTTAAATCAGAGGTTCCCAAACCTGTTTTTTTTGTGCACCACTTTTAAAAATTTACTGATTTTGGTGCTGCTATATTCCTACCATATGCTCAATATTTAAAATTTCCACCAGAGGGCGTGACAGTGAAAATGTTCATATACCTATTTTCGCAATTTGGCAAACTCCACACTGATTTTAGCTCCAAATTTGCTTCGAATTACATGCAAAATCCTATAGCAACGGGCATAGTAAACAAATTTACCCGCCCTAGTGTACATAATTTTTTTCATTTAAAAATGTGTCTACATTCAAGAAGATTCTCCACTTCAATAAGTTGCTTTTGAACTTTAAAGTATAGCTACTTCTAAATACAAATCAACTTATGTTTTGTAAATGAATGCAACATTAAATACCAACACCCAAAAATATGCAATAAAAATGATAGCCTTTAAATTTACTTTCGAAAAATATGCAATACTTGTTTACCTTTTTGAAGGCAGTAAATACAATCAGTCCTTTCAACGCATTTTACCTGTAAATACTACAAAATCTTTCAGCCAACTAGTCAACTTATTATAACTTTACTTCTGCTTGGCATGCAGACAAGTTTAATCCGCAAATAATTAGCTACTCAAAGTCCGCTCGGTAACTGTAAAAGAGAGGGAAAGAGTGATATTTGTTATTACCTGCGCCAAAGACTTGCACAGACAGCTCTCGTCTAATAAAAATATTATCTTTACCATGGAAATATGCGCAACTAACTGTAGTTAACGAAATTGTAAAGATGTAGTAGAAAGTAAATAGTGTGCCGGTGACTGTTAAGGGGTTAAGGTGTGGCAGAAAGTCTGAAATTTATAATTAACTACACCCTAGGGACTCACGTGTTGACACTTGCAAAAGCTATGCCGAGTTTGAGTTGCAACTGAGGATGGAGTGTGAAGCCAAAGAAGCCCACATAAAACTAGTAGCAGCAATTTAAAAGTGTTGAGGAGAGTAGCTTGCAAAGAAAAAATAAAACTTTGACGTGTTGGCTTGTTATGTTATAAAAATATTAGTCTCTGGTTGTTAAAGGCAGTTGGTCACTTGTTAATCTTCGAAGCAGTTTGTGCTTTGGACTTCTCCAACTTGTTTATTGCAATAATAAGTAAATATATTTAACAAGTTGTCACTAGTCGCATAACAAAGTTAGTAGCCTATAAGTATGCTTTGCTTAATGAAAAACACTTGCCAGCTCGAATGTAATTGAATTAACGAAGTAAAGATAAACTTTATCAAATTTATAATTGAATTTTATGTTTTAATTTGGAGCAATGAAATAATTTTTTGCAACAGAGGTTCGCAATGGACTCTCAATACAGCTTAAATAAGTAAATCTTGATTTTTTGCGTTTAGAAAGTTCCACCCAAATGTTTGTACTACAATTTGCTCTACGCCAAGATGAGGATGATCCGCCGAAGAATAGTTCAAAGATAGTCTGCAGAAGGTAATTCCCCTCTTGCTCGGTGATACTAAGTAGCACGAGCGAAAATTTGTTAGCCAATCCATGCGCTACACAGTTTTCGGCAACGTCATTGTGGCCTGGCACTGATATTTGTCTGATGCGACCGAAATGTGAATCAGGCGCCCTCTGACTGACTTTGAGCGCTTTGTGGGTAAGCCGAAAGGTGATGAGTGCCACTTGGCCATGCGAGTATATTTGTAACTCTCTTATTGCCGTCATACATTTGCGTAGCTTATCGACATCTGCGTTAATGGCAACTAAATACATCTGCCAGGAAAACATTGCATTGCATCAATGCACTCATAACTTGAGTGATGTGAGTAGGGAAAGAGCTGATTGGCGCCAGTCTTGATACTCAGTGAAACCTGTTATTAAGGATGAAGTCGAAGCTTCCAAAAAGTTGTTTAGCAAACTCCTACTTCAGTCAAAAATGCATCCATGCTCTTAAATCTGACCTTAGTGCCTCCTGCAGCAACTTTAACCGCAAACATATTTAGCACGACTTAAGGATCTATAGTCGGGGAGGGGGCGCCAATGTGACCAAATGATTCTAATAAGAGCGAATAATTGCATTCGCTTTAGCTGCCTAGCTAACGTAGACTTGTCTAATTTCTTCACAAGAGAGCTTCAAAGAAATCTCAGGAAGCGATGTATTATATACCCAGAAAATAATTGTAAGGACCAGACTAATTTAATTTTAAACATATTTCGTAGTAAAGTAGTACGAGTTTCGGCTTACCTGGACGGCGTCCATGCTTGTCGCGGGAGAACTATCTCTGCAATTAATTTTAAATATTCATACAATTGTAGCGCTGCAAGGATAAGTACGATCCAGCCGTAGAGACGCCAGATTCGAACACGCAAGTGTTCTGGGAATTCAACCGAATAATCTACGACCACTAGACTATACTATTCCTCTACTCTGTTTAGATAAAAAATTCTCCAAAAGGTTCCAGAGAGCAAGGAATGGAAAGGTGCCAGAGTTAAAGACTCAGGGTCGATGGTTCAAAGCTAAACGAAAAAGTAGGCAGCGTAGTTCACATCATTGAACTCACACTAAACCTTAGACTTTACTTACTGGATCACTTTAGCGTTTTAAGGGAGAGCGTAGCGCCGTAGCTTCCGCTCTTCTAGAACGGCCTAGCAATATCTTTAAATCCCATAGAAACTCCCGTTAAAGCAGCAATAGAATACAGAAATATTCTCAACCTGCAGGCATCTCCGTGCTCCTTGGCTATTGCATGGGTGCCTGTGCACAGGAATATTCTTAGCAACCGCAAGCCCGATGAGTTGGCTAAGAAAGCGACGCAAATATCTATAGTCAACTCTGCTTAAGACGGGGGCATACCTTTAAGCTACTGTGAACTCAAAAAGACTGAAGAATCCACCTGTTGGGATAGCAGGCAAATTTGGCAAAAATTTTGTTGTAAGTCGATCAAAAGCTCTTCCCCGCTACTTCGCTCTTCTGATGGATTTATAGCCGCGGTAATAACCCGACACTGAGGGCCGCTGTGGTGTAGTGGCTAGAAGAAAAGTGGTCTCTTCACCACTCGTGGTGAAAAGCTATTTCGAAATAAAGCACTTGTATACCATTTAGCTCGTGCCGCTCCAACAGTTGCAATGGCCGAGTGCGCAAATCACAGGCGTGCCATTTTGAGATCAGCGTGCGAGTCCTTAGGGAGCGACATTTTTATTTACATCTTTTTTTCTTTTCTTAATCCAATTTTCTTTTAACTTTTAGATTTTATTCTTTTAAAATAAAATTAAAGTTTTTTATTTCATAAATTTTTTAGAAAGTTATTTTATTTATTTTGTTTATTTTTAAATTTATTTATTTTTTAACCCTCAATTTAATTTTTTTAATGTTTAGTTATTGTTTCAAAAAAAAAAATACTTTTTTATTTTATTTCATTTTTAGGAAGTTATTTTTTTTTTCCTTTTTTAAATTATATTGTTTTCTTTTCGGTTTAGTTATCTCTAAATTTTTAGATCTTAAAAACAAATTGTTTCTAAATTTAGTTGAATTTTTAGGAACTTATTTGATTTTTTTTTGTTTTTAAAATAAATATGTTATTCTTTCGAAAATTTCATTTTCTTATAGTTTTTAAATGTTACTGTTTTAAAATAAAAAATATTTTTTTTATTAAATTTAATTTCTAGGATATTATTTAATTTAATTTTATTTTTTAATTAAAAGTTCTTTTGATTCGCAGATTTAGTTTTACAAAATAAAAATATTTATTTTTAAATTTTATTTAACTTTTGATTATAATATTCTTCGTTTTTTTCTTTTCCTCATTTAATTTTTAGATTTCACTGTATTAAGAAAAAAATTATGATTTCATTTAATTTTTAAAAATATAGTTTATTTATTTTTGCTTTGTATCCATTTTGTTTTTTTTTCATTTCTTAATAAAATTGTCTTTTGTTTTATATTTTTTTTTTAATTTAATTTAATTTTTGAAAAACTTTTTGCTTAAAGGCGAACAGCATAACGCTAAGAGCTCCTGGTTAGTAAATCTTTCAATAAGTCTTTAGAAAGACAGTTAGAGCTTTCAAGATAGTTGCCAGAATTGACAATTGGAATAGTAAGGAGTTTCACTTCAGTCGCGCGTGTGCTTTAATTTCTAGGGCAAGGAAGGAAATAATTGACTTCTTCCAGCTATATTACAATGGGGCTTTTCAGCCTACGTGTACCTGCGTGCTCGTGCACGGTAGCAGCCACCTTAGAATAACTTAACCTTACCTACATAAGGGTGGTGCAAGAATTTATTGTCCCGACAAAGCGAGGGTTATCCGATTTAGCACTCACGCATTCAGCTTCTTTCTTCCTACATAGATTCCAATTAAAATTGCTCTTAGTCTGCGATTTAAGGGTTGTAACTCAAGTAAGACATGACGACTAGTAGTTTTTATTATTTTAGCCGCAATCTACTGGAAAAGTATGCATTAACTCTTTTAAAAAATGCCACTTTACTACATTTTAACTACCTTGAATTTAATTACGGTCGTGAAAGACGACTGTATAAATGAAGAGAATGGCTGAAAATAAAAGACTGAAAAAAAAAACGTTATATATCAAAGTCATGCATATGCGCGCCTGTAAATATGCCATAACCATATGCAAAACTAAGAGTAGCATAAAAAACGGCTTTATAATAAAAAAAAAAAATGAAATCCGGCAGGCGTTGGTAGTTAAAATATGACGACCGGGGTGCGCACGGCGGCATCAAAAATTTGCTAATACAAACAAACACATACCACGCTCAACTATGTATGTATGTATGTGTGTACATCTGAATAAGCATATTTGCATGTATTCGCGCATTTATAAAAGTTTATACCCTCAACCCCTCTGTACTCACCATCTTTTATCGAATAGCGTGGATTGCTCATATCGACCTTTGTCTGATTCTTAATCCAGTAGATTGTGGGTGTTGGATTACCAATGGCTTTGCATTGCATTACCGCCGTATGACCGACTTCGATTACCCGTGTGCTGGGACCCTGAGTTATAACCGGAAAACCGGGTGGCGTTTTATCACCTGCAAGTAGAAAATATGAAAATGAAGAAGACAGAAATACCATGAATGAAAGTACATTTATGAATAAAATAAGCATATGTATGAAAGCAAGAGCACCGCGAAACGTACGTATGGGAATGTGCTGCAAAAAATGCGTTGAAATATTTTACGCTAAAATATGTTATTGGTTAAGCTGTATGGACTTAAACATAAGCTGTAAAGATCTGCAAAAGTGAATGCATTAAAATGTAAGGCTTACACACTTTTTCTGCATATACACGCAAATACACACGCACACATGGCATGACAGACGCACTCAACCAACAACGAAATATATACATATGTATCTACTTTAGGGTGCCTCCCCAACCATTTGCGGTACTCCCACCGAAACTATGCAACTTAATATATTTTGAGACTTCCGCTTAAAAGTGAAAATACTTTCAAAAATAGTTTTTTTTTATACAAAAAATTACGTTAAACGATTTTTTTTTTGCCAAAGAATAATCAAAATCGAAAAAATTAGTAAAACATTTTTTTTTTGCAAAATGTCACCACAGATTGTAGAAGAGTTAAAAAAGAATTTTATTAAATTAGTTTAAATATTAAGTAATTAAATTAATTTAATTAAAAAAATAAATTTTAAAAACTTATTTAATTTTAAAAACGTTAATCCAAATATTTTTACGAAATATTTAGCAAAACTCTCAAAATATAGCCAATTTTATAACTACGTGGAAAAAATATGTAGTACCGACTTTTTTTTATGTATATGTATTGGTGCATCCTAATACATTTAATTTAATTATTAAATTTTATGACTTCTGCCAAAATATTTCGGAAATTTCCTTCAAAAATCGACTTTTTTTGTTCATAAAATTAGTTAATTTAAAAAAACCCTCAAAATCAAAAATTTAGTTAGACATTTTTTGTTCCAAAAAATCCCCACAGATGCTGGAAGAAAAATATTTTTAAAATCTTATTTAATTTATAAAAAAAACCCAATTTTCGGAACTATTTTCAGATAGGTACAGCTCACGTTAATCCAAATATTTTTACGAAATATTTCGCAGAAGTGTTAAAATATAATAAATTTTATAACTCGGTTGGAAAAAGAGTACAGGTTTTTTTTCGTTACGATGGTGTTGCACCCTAATATACTTAGGTATGTATGCACATTTGTATTTATGTGTGTAACGCTAAAAGCTATGCCATTAAACCTCTTTGTGTGCAAAGCACAAGAAAGAGGTGAAAAGCCAGCAAATATGCAACTGTAAAAATGTAAAAATGTACTGCGGGTATGCAAAAGGCAAACGACGCAAACGAATACAACAAACCAAACCAAACCAAAAAAATAAAAAACAATAAAAAAAGCGCATGAATTCCCTGCATTCGAATATGACTTTCACGCTATGCGGTGGTAGGGGGGTAATTAAATGAATTTCACGCTCGCATAATGGCTGTATTTTACCGCACCCTCACTCGCTCATACTACATATCCTCCTTTGTGCATTGTGCTCCTCCGCTCATGCCACACTTCCTTCGTGCTTTGTATGGGCGCGCTTGTCCGGCAACATATGCGGCAACATATTCGCGCGTTTGTAGTCGTAATCGCTTTTGTCTGTGTTGATGTGGTAGAATGCGAAAAAAAAAAATATTTAGCAACGGAAAACGGAGGTAATTGTCATAGTCGGTGTCGGGTTTTTTTAAATATTATTTTGCGTATGAATGCACTTTTTTCGCACATGAATATTTATATTCCATTTGGAATTTTTTTTTTGTTTTTGGAAAAGGAATGTTTTAATTCTTTCCCCAGTTTTTTTTTTTTTTAATTCTATTTAAAACTTTCAGGAATGGTATTGGAATGTTCAGCTGCTATTGTTTAATCAAAACTTTTAGAAGCTTTTAGCTATAACCGGAAACTGCGTCATATGTATGTATGTATGTATGTATGTATGAGGAGAAGATATCGTCAACCTTATGCCAGAAGCATGAATGTGCAAATTTACCAATTTTGAGTTATTGGGTTGAATTGATTAATCTTTGGATGTTCTATGTTATACCAAAACCCAGAAAAACTTTCAAACTTGATATCCCAAAATTTTAATTTTTACACATTCATGTTTCTGGCATGCAGACGCGATATGTATGCATGTATGATGTCATGAGGTCGAGAGTAGCCTATCGAAAATTTTGCAAGAATGTGTGTATATGTCTTAAATGTAAAGATGTGAAAAGTATCGATATATATGTAAGTGCAAGGAAGATCTTAGATTTGTTGTACTTGTAGACATTCTCTCATGGTCTCATCTGTATATGTATGGGTCAATCAAAGTCGAATCGACCATTTTTAATTTGGACGAATTTTGGCTAAAGGCCAGTGTATGCAGCTCTAAAGAAAAGCCAAAACTCCATACAAAATGACGTACAATAAATGGCTATGAAATTTTCTTGTGTAAAATTTCTTTAAGGCAGTACACAGTTCTTAAGAAATTTGCTGTACTTTCTACTTTGGTTTTCTAAAGTTTTTTTTTTGTTAAAAAAGAGCACAAGGCCGCCGTACAGTCATGGTTTGGCACCTCATGGTTTTTTTTGTTCCCTTAGATCAAGTATGTACATATATATCCGCGGATAAATATTTTCACCGCCTGAAGGAGCTGTTAATTTTGAAAATAACATAAGTAATTTCCTGTTCTAGTGCTTAAATGGTTGGTTACTTCTAATAGATATAGGTAAATTATCACTGAAGTCAAACGGCATGAAAAGACTTGTGTCACTTTCAAAATAAACGGCCTAACTCATGCTGAAGAATATACTGAATACCAATAAGATCACTCTTACCAACAAAATGTATCTTCTTTTCTTAGGTATTCTGTTAGTGATCCTCGTATTAACTGGGTATCAAATATTACGCATACGCTATGTAGAGCATGATATGCAGGCACTTACACCTACCTACGTTCCATACAAAAAAACATCTGCTCTCGTATTGTAACAGAGCAATTGTGCCTTAAGCCGAGGCCACGCAATGAGCGGCTGAGCGACACTGCACAGAAATGCCGTTCAGCCGCTCAGAAATGACGCTCATTGCGTGGCCACTTCAATAGTATTTCATATGTTTTAATTTTAAGCCGCGCGCCGCGCGCCGCTTTGCCGCTCATTCCGTGGCCTCGGCCCAAGAAGTCTTTTGTAAGATAATTGATTTACAGTAAAACGGCGTTTCCACGACAACCGAATCACGTGGTTCGCTCTCTCAATTATGAACGGCGAATCAACCGGTTTACACGACACATTCGTGATTCACTTTGCATCTCTGCTTCTTGTTCTTTGCTTGTGTTTATTGTGCATTTCAACGGGGGGAAAAAATTTGTAGTGGTTAATTTGCTAAATCCATAGTTTTAACGAATCTATCTATTTTTTCAATGTTTGTGCTGGTGGGGATGTGTGTGTGATCTATGTGTTTTGACAGCCGTTATCGATAAAATTTAGAGAAGACAACGATTTGTTCTTGATTCGCAGGTTGACTGGATCTGAATCACCTACGAATGAAGTGATTCGCTCTCAAAATTTTGTATGGCGAATTACGTGATTCGGTTCTTAATTGGGGCGCCAATCACGAATGAGAGAGCGAATTACGAATGGGAGAGCGAATCACTTGCCGTGGAAACATCGTTTAAGTCAAATAACTAGTTTGAAAGATTTTGTTTCTTCTGGCACTAAAGTCATACATAAAAAGCTCCTCAGCCAACTTTCCCGGTGCAAAGTAGAATGCTGCATCGTAGTCAGCTGAAAAATAGAATGAATATCCAAAAATTCTTTTTCTACCGTTACTTTCTGTGGAAATTTGTCTCGCATAAAAATCATGTTTTGCTTTGTTCAATTTGCAGCGAAGTTGAATTCAGTCGATGAAGTGAAGTACAAGAGTGAGAAGCTACAATTTTAAGCTTAATATATATATGAATGTATGTATGTACATACCGATTTTTAAGAAAATCTAAATACCTAAATACATACATACATATGTTTGTTTAAAAGCTGATTTATAAAAATTTGATTTAATTTTAATCTTTTGAGACATTTTCTGATTTCAATTTATTATAAATAAGTATGTACTTATCTAGGCATTCTACATTAGTTTCTCTGTAAGGCATTCTTTGTTCGCTTCTCTAGATTCTGTTTATCCATGCGTTCTCCCTTCGTTTGAAGGTAATGCTGCGGGTAAGGGCTTACCTCCAATGATATGCCCATGTTAAAATAAGGCCTTCTTGAAGCGAGAGGGTCAGCGATTCCCACCGCCTAGCTCGTTTCCACTTTCGTTTCTGTGGTAATCGTTTTTTTTTTTGCTGGGAACGATCGCAATGGCCGATTGGCAATGAACTGACGAGCCATTCGGGAGAGACGAGGTTCGAATCCTCGGACAGCGGAATATTTATTATTTTGTTGATAAAATTTAATTTTTTATAATTAAAGTTTCCTTTAAATTTTATCGTTTTAAAAAGCAAAATATTTAGAACAGATATCTATTTAAATATCTTTTAATGTTTATAAAATTATTTTATTAATTTCTTCTTTTTAATTAAATTTTTTGTTTTAAAAAGATAACTTTTTTTTTAAATTTCAGTCAATTATTAGACACTTGTATTTTTTCCTCTCTTTTTAAATTAAATTTTTTCTTTTCTTAGACTTCATTACTTTAAAAAGAAACATATTTTTTATTTTATTTACTTTTAAGGAACTTATTCCATTTTTTCTTCATTAAATATATATTTTTTTAATTAAGTTTTCTTGTAGTATTTAGACAAATTTATTTAAAAAAAATATATATATATTTTAAATGAAATAAAATTAAATTTTTAGAACCTTTTTTATTTTTTTTAATTTACTTATTTTTTATTTTTATTATTAGATTTTATTGTTTTCAAAAGAAACATATATATTTTTTTTAATAATTTATTATAATTGTTCGCAGATTCTCTAAAAATCCTTTAAGAAGATTTCCTTGGCTTCCCGTCGGCTTAAAA